TTTCCACTTCTTCATAAAAGATAAGACACAGAATTCAATCTCCTCCTCGTGTCACCTCACAGTCACAACTACATTCAGGGAGATGTAAACATACAGGGCGTCATTTTAAAATTATAATAATTTACATCAACCACTGACATCAGATTAATACATAAGTCTGAAATAAATCTATTTTCACACAAACAGTTTGTCTTTGTGAGGATTTACTTCACCTTTGGAAACAGATCGGACAACAACACAGAGCACAGCAGCAGTCTGCCTGGGTTTAGACCAAGAAGAATAACAAGAATCATTTATGGACACAAGTTAAGTTGAACAAGTAGAACAATTGGAGACAGAATCTGACAATATGGACCTTTTTAATTCATTAAGGTCATCTTGACACAGAGATTTAAGTATCTTAAAACTGTCCATCACACACCTGAAAGGAGACTTTGAACCTCTATTCAGCTGATTTTACAGCAGTGACAGTGTGTTTACACAACAACCACGAGTTCCTGTAAACCAGCTGATTTCCTCTCAGCAGTTCAGCTTACGTGTAGCGCTCTCAGAAACTGTCATGTCTGTGGGTGTTGGCGAACTTTCCCTCTCGGAGCAGCGCCCCGCCTCTGGAAGTTTCCCCTCCATCGTGACTCCCATGGATCTCTCCCTCCCCTCCAGTGCTCTCCCTTGTGAAATAAACAAGACAAACCCTGCTGTTCATATCACACAATACCCACAAAAAGCTGGCGCTACATTACTAACTCTACTCTCCTCCACTTCACACATCCTGTCTTTTGCCGTTCTATTCAATATTTTGATTTTGGTCTTTATAACTTTCACTCTTTTTGTCCTTTATGCAGCTGCAGTGTTTATAAGGCTGAGGAAGTCACTTCAAGGAGGAAAATGTTTCACACTGAAAATGCTGCATCCAGATGAAGAGAGTCAACTTTGTTGGATAAAGAGGAAAATTAAAATATATATTTAAAAACAACATGACTGAGTGTATCTGTGAAGTATATAGACATAATGGACATTCAGTTTGTCTATTTCTTATTACCTTTGTGTTTTGTATATAATCTCTAAATGTCACTGAGAAACAGATGAGTCGATCCTCTGGAGATAAAGTGCTCTTTGATTTAACTTAATTTAAGTTTAATTTCTGCTTCATTTTCACAGTTCATTCATTTTCATAGTGCCTGCTGGTTGAAACTCACTTCCACCTGTGAGCTCCTGAAAGAGCAGTTGATGTTATCACATGTGACTCTGATTCAGTCACATCCCAGCAATGAATTAAAGTCATTATGTTTTAAACTACATTGATATAAAAAGTTGAGAAAGTAGAAATAATACAAGAATCCAAAATGTAGTTTGATTTCATCATAAAAAAATAGATAAATTCAGGTGATATCTTTAAATTACACAGAGAGATTTACCTC